AGGATATCACAACAGCCCAGCCTATATATAATAATAAATGGATTAGCTCCTTAAAGATATACCCGCTAAAGTATATATTAATAATATAATTATTGCCATAAACGGCTCCTTGCAAAACCATATTAATAATATTTATCTGGTTTTCAACTAACTGCAATAAAAGAACATTTCAATAGGCTTAAAAAAATCCTATTTCATAGCACCAACAGCTATTATGCTTAGCCATTATATTAACTCTTTCAACCTCTTTATAACCAAAGAATGCTTAAAGGCTATTAAAGCCTTGGAATTTCCCCGTTTATTAAAGGATTTAAAATATTTTATTAGCCTTACGGGCTATATAAAATATAATATCTCACGTTTTATAATAAAGATTAAGCCTTTTAAATAATAAAAGATAAATCTTTATTAACTAAATACTTTAATAAAGCCAAAGGGTAAAATAACTTAAGAGAATTAAATAAAATAAATTATATTCACCCTACCTAGCAATGCAAAGAAAGCTGCCTTTAACACCATAAAATAAAACCTAACCAAGTTTACATCCATTATACACTTTAATTTAAAAAGGCATTTATTTATTAATTTCAATATATCTGCATTTAAAATTAAAATGCAAGTTTATTATATAGCAAACTTAGCTATAAGGAAACTTATAAAAGATAGCCATATCATTACATACCTACCATAAACTTTAGTTAAAATAATTACATACCTTAGCTGCACTTTATCCTTTGCAAAACGCTGATATTAAGCTATAAAAATGAAACTTCTTGGCTATATATAGGTACTTAAAAAATATTAATACTAAATTAACGTTACTAAGTACCGTCTTATAATTTACATAAACTACTTAGCAATCCTTGCCCTTTTTAAATAACTTAATATTGTTAACTTTACCGCAGCCTTAATAAATAATAAGAAATTAATCTATACCCTTAAATATATTAGCGCCTTTAAAATTAATTTATTATATAAACTAGGAAGAGAAAATGTTATATTGAATGCATTATTACATATACCGTTATTAAATATATCGCTATTAACTAAAGATAGTAAACTAAATATTTTCTTAAATAATTAAAATGAATATTAATTATTTTTCTTGGAAATATGCTTAATAGCCCTTATAATACCTTTAAAACTAAATTTGCAAAATAGAAATATATATATTAAAATATTTCTTAACTTTTGCAAGCGCTTCCAAGATAGCTATTAAATAAACCCTTAATAAGCAAGAATTTTAAATATAATACGGTGAAATAATGCTTTTTATAAAAATAAAGCCATCCTTTTATTTAAAATCCGCTTTAGCTTTATTTAAAAAATATTAAATAAAAATAAAACTCTTTATCTTTATATTCCTTAATTATATATAATTAAAATCTTGAAACTTGCTTATATAGGTAGCTATTATAATTATGCCCAACTTAACGAATTCCTCTAGCCCTTTTATATTAAAAGACTGCATTTCAAGCTATATAAATTTACCCGCCGCTACCTTAATTGCTAAGTTTTTAATATTAAAAGATATAAAGCCTATGAAAGCTTATAATTACTGCTTAGCTTACTATATTCATATTACTGAATTATAATAAACTTTATTCTTAAACTTCCCTTAATAAAAGGCTATAATTATATTCTCTTAATAATCTGTAAATTCTTAAAGAACTTATTATTAGTGCCTAGAAAATTAACATAAAAAGCTATGGAATGGGCCTCTTCTTTGCTATAATACTTACTTTAAAGTAATTAGGGCTATTTAAAAGTTATCCTCTTAAACCAAAACCCTAAATTCCTATTAAGCATTTAGTTATTAATATAGAAACTATTTAAAATAAAGCTGCTTTATATAACTATATATTATTTATAAATCAATGGCTAATTAAAAAGGATAGTATAAACCATTAAATCCGCACTTCATTACTTTATCCATAGCCTTAACAATCCGCGAAAATAATTAAATACTTTACCATGGATATAATTTAAATATTGCAATAGCAAATCCTAAGCAACTAAGACTTCTTTAAATAAAATTATTAAAGGCTTTACCTTAAATAATATCTTAAACATTATTATAAACTAAGTACTTTATTAACTGCCAAACCTTCCTTAAAATTATATCCATATATATAATGCCTTAGCATTTATAATAATAATAATAAAAGCATACTTTAATAAATAACATCTTGCATAATTCTTTAAAGTTAAAGCATAGGTATTACTTTAATTATATAAAGAATATAAAATTCCATAAAATGTTAGCTGCAAATATGAATCACAATATGCAAGCTCTTTTAAAATTACGGAAAGGATTAGCCGTTCTATATATTAACTTAACTTTCTGCGCGCATAAAAGTTAAAGCATAATATTATTTCTATCAACCACCTTAAGCCATATTCTTTAAATCTATTTAATTAAAACATACCTTAAATTAAACCCATTTAAATTAAAGATTATGCAAAGCGCATAATTAACTAATAACACTTAAAATTAAAAAATATAAAATATCTTATTAAATACGTTAAACTAAGACCTAAATTCTAAGAATGAATAACCTTGCTGCAATTAAGACTTAATATATAATCACTGCTTAATAAATTTATCTATAAACAATTATTTATTATAAACTTAATATAATAATTACCATTAATAACTATTATTAATAATTACCATAATAACTTACAATAACATTTACCTAAAAACTTTAAATAAAAAAATGGAATAAATATAATACTACTTAAAGCATAATTTTAATTTTCTTTTAAAAACTATAAACTTCTTCCTCCCTTTTATTTTTTTATTTATTTTTATTTAATAGAAAATATACTTAAGATAGCCTTGCAATTTAAGCCTATTGCTAATAGTAATGACGGAAGGAGATAAGAGCAAAAAGTTATTTAAAAATGAACTTAAACGGCATAAATTTAAAGCAAAGCGCTAAGCCGCAAATCTTTTTTAAAATCCAAAGCTTTGGATTAAAAATATTAATAACATTACACGCTAAGATGACTAAGTTGGCTTAATAACTATTGCAAAAAACTTACATACTATATTATAAATAATTCTTAATTCTAATAGGGTTAAAATTAATAAACTTAATAAGGCTATAAATCTCCTTACCCTTATCCACTTAATGCAAAAGTAGAAATATAATAAAAAGCTCTTGCGATTCATTAAAAGATATAAAAAGAAGAAATATAAGTAATGAATATATATTTATAATAAATTATAGAACATTACTAACAGAAAATTTAATTAATATCTTTTTTATATAAATGTAAAAATAAATTAATTAATTAAAAAAGCCTTAACTTTATTATATTCTTTGCAATACTTATTTAATATAGTGGATTATAATACTTCTTCTTTTTAGGCTAAATTTTAATTTAAATTTAAAGAATTCTTAAATAAAAGTAATTTTAATAAAAATGCCAAAGCTATTAAATCCATATATAATAAAATTAAAGAAAATCTACTTAAAAAACCACCTCCCCTTAATAATTGCTCCTTTAATAATGATTCCAATATCTTTATTATATTATCTTAAATTAAAGAATATAATTTATTAAAGAAAACTAATTAAAAAAAATTTAATATAACGCTTATGGTAAGTTTATAATGCAACTTAAAGAAGATAAAGTTTAATATATCTTTGCAACCTATTATATTTTCCACTAATAATATAACGACCCATTAATTCATGCTACCTTCCTTGCCTATGATGAAACATACCAATACCCATTTATATTCCCTATTAATAGCGCCCCTGTCTTTAATAAAATAGCAAAAGTATAAGTAATATAAAATGAAAAACGTTAAGTTTGCCGCTAAAATTAATAAATAGCAAGCCTAAATTATAAAATTATAGTTAAAAAACATTAAATTAAATATTTAGCGGAACTTACTTTAAATGCAACTTAACCTTAACATTATATATATTATTAGCTTAAAAGATTAGTTAATTAAGAAGGATAAATAAATTAATACCTTAAAAGGTAGCCATCATACCCTATTTACCAAAATGATTATAAATGAATTTAATGCCTTCCTTACCATTTAAGATATTATAAATATTATTATTAAATTACTTAATAATAGATGTACTTTTAAGTTGGAACTTTTCATGAATAACTTTAGATTAAGTGGAAATATGAAAGCAGTTAACTATAAGAAATATAATGGATTATAAAATAAACCCTAAAATAACTTTAATACTTTAAAGAATGGAAACGGAGATTATAAGGAAGATGGAGATAATTTAGGCTTAATACTTTACCCGGAAAACGGAACATAGGATAATTAATTTATTAAACGCACCTTTTGGAATTGTTTATTAGTTATAAGGGCGCTGCTATTTTTTAAAGGGGGTAGATTATAAGGAAGGAGCATTGCATAGACCCCTTATGGGCATTAATAGGTAGTCCTCGGCCCCTCGGCCCTTTAGCATAAACTTAGACAGAACCACAACCAGAAACCGAATACAACCCTCTTATTGCAGAACCCCTTGACAAATAACCTGTGATGCGACTCCGGGGCAAGCTAACGAACTCCCGTTAGACATCACGCCATCCTCATTGGGCATGGCATGGCGAGCTCATCCGGGCAGCGAACATTCAAACGTGCTGGGTGACGTCGGAACTAACGCAGACCATTCAGGCCACAGAGCTTTGCTGCCAGTCATTGATGACTGAGCGAGTGGAACTGCTACGTTCGAGCCTGGCTGACGTCGAAAGCATCACACACCAGGTTTTATTGTTTCAATGGTATACAGCATCGTACCCAGTCTCCCTCGGCACATTTCGAATACCATATATGTACTTGGTAGACTATTCTATGTCTATGCACAGCCCAGTCATCCAAGTTTGTCTTGTTCGACCTGGGATGCACACAGTCAGTGCTTGACCTGTGTCCAGCACCCTGTCGGCATAAGAGAACATAATGAACCTCTCCTTGCATTAGGGAGCTAGGACAAGGGACTCGACATTCGACAACGCCCCTAGCTGCGGGACAGGATCTTGTCTAGCACGGCCGCCAGTTTGCCCTCGCAGTCCTCGACCACCTTTTGGCTTCTCCACGCAACGAACCGGTCCGGCCGCACCAGGACGCACCCAGAGTCCTCCACGCCCCTCCTCTCATACCACTCGCGATACACGTCCTGCCAGTCAAGGCCGAACCCGATCCTGTGCGTGTTGATCGGAATCCCTGTCTTCTGCGAGATCTTGCGGGCCGCCTCTTCCCAGCCCTCTCCCCCGTACCCCGTCAGCAGACAGAACGCCCCCTTTCCGGCCAGGTCGTGTGTCGAGATGGCCCTCCTCCTCACCGGCGTGTCCAGCCAGGCATGCGGTAGCCGAGTGCCCGGGTACGTCGACACATGTGGATCCGCGATCCGATCGAAACCCTCCGGCACGGCTCGCGGCCCCGGCTCGTCGTCGAGATACACGGCCGACGACTCGTACCATTGGTTCATGCACAGCCCGAGGCTCTTGCCCTCCCCCATCTTCTTCTCAAGGGCATCGTGAAGTCGCCGGCGCTGGGCCTCTCCCTCCGGCGAAGCCTCAGTCAGGATGCCGTGGGCCCGCTTGCGCTCCTCCGGTGTCTCGGCCACCATGCCGAGTGCCGCCCACACATCTATGTGCGTGAGCAGGCATTGGTTGGCCTCCCTGACCAGCTGCGCGCCCACGGGCTGCCGCTCTGTGTTGTACGTCTTGAGGAGCTCCGGCCCGGCGAGACCCTTGGCGACGAATGCGGCCTTCCAGCCCAGGTTGTACCCATCCTGCACGCAAGTGTTGCTTCCGAGGCCATACGCGGGTGGGTGTCGGTGTGCCACATCGCCCAGCAGGAACGCGTTGTCCTCAGGGATATAGTCTTCTGCCACTGTCTCCCTGACAACCCACGGGTCAAGCCGGTGGATCTTGACCTCTATGTCCTTGGTCAGTGGGTTGTCGTCCAGGCCGACTTTTTCGCGCACCCACGAGATGAGCTCTGGGTCTTCTGGGCTGATGCCCTTGAACGGGTCCTGGTCGGATGTGATGCCCGGAAAGATGGTGACTATCATCCACTCGTGGAAGGGGCGGATCATCCGCATGATGGGCCCATTGCCGAACCGTGAGTTGGCGGCTGGGTTGATGATGGTGTGCAGCTGCGCCTGTTTCCCCTCCATCAGGTGGGACAGGTCAGCCCTGAACAAGATGTTGCAGGCGATCCCCTGTGAAGGCGCCGCTGCGAGCCTGGCATTCGTAGACGTCGCGACCTGGCTGCGGCCCCCGTCGGCGCCGAATAGGAACTTGGTCCGGATGCGATAAGTGTCGTTGCGGATGAGGTCCTTCACGGTGCAAACCCACTCTCCGGTCGCAGAGTCCTTCTCTGCAGAGACGAGCTGCGTCGAGAAGCGGACTGGGAACCCGTGGTGCGAGGCATGCTTGACCAGGATCGGATCGAGGTATGTCTGCGGGAGGTCGACCCACCTGGACGGCGTGTATTTCTTCACGTTCATCGCGTTTTCGGGGACGCCCTCCCAGTGCTCCACCTTCCCCAGCTCCTCGCCTAGGAGACTGCGGGCGTATCGAAACGCTCCGATCATCTCAGGCGGCAGAGACAGCCTCATGGCGTCGTCTTCCACCGAGATATCACGTAGGCACTCCAGCGTAAACGGGTTGACGAGGTGAGCTCTGGGCGTGTCTGCCGTGCCAGAAGCACCAGCAATCATCAGTCCCTTCAAGCCTGTGCGTGACGTTAGCAGCTAATATCCGGCTGGGGAGCTTTCCTGGGACTTAGGCTATACACACCATTCTGCCCGAGGAAACTTGCAAGAGCTGCTCCTGCTGGACCTGCGCCCACCACGAGGAATTCTGTCTTCACTTCAGATGACATGGTGGCAGAGCTTTGATGGAAGTGTGGCTGTGTAATTCGGGAGCAGTTGGCTACCTTTAATCTGGGGGTTGTATCTGGCAGGAGGGAGAGGACTCGAATGGTGAGCAGATATCACGACGACGCTGGGCTTTTTATATCCTTTTCTCTTCCGCCCCCAACAGCTGTTTGTTCCACGACGCCGTCCCTGATCCACAAATAACTTTTGAGGGAACCCTATAATTTGTTCCTTCGCGCGAGTGCCCCGACAGCCCAGACACCCGCCGTTGAGCTGGTCCATCGAGAAATGGTGTCCTGGAATCTTGCACTTCTGTTCCCTTCCGACCAGGCCGACCCGCGCGGGACACTCCACTGTGGGCAAGCTCCGCGGCTCGTGCAGATCCGCTGCAGTGGAAGCCCTGCCGTGGGGGCCGGGGGCCCGGACCGTGTAGCATCGGCGAGCACCCGAAAGCGACCGTGGCCAACGTTGCTTTTTGTAAGCATGCTCGTCCGAGACAAAAAAACGCGCACTTGCATTACGTCACACCCATTAAAACACCCTCCTCCTCATTCCAACCCCCTTAACTTTAACACCCTTTAATATTCCAACATATTATCTTCTTATAATAATAATTATATATAATAATAAAAAAAATTAATTAATATAATATAATATAATATATTAATATTTTATAAGGATAATATTTTTAAAATAATATTTTTTTATAATTTAAATTTAAGAAAATTAATAATTAAAAAGTATTATAAAAAACATTTAAATTATTATACTTAAAATTATAATTATTATAAATTAGCTTTAAATAATTATTAAAAAGTATTTAAAAGAAATTATAAATTATAATATTTAAAAATAATTAAAGCTTTAAAAAAACTTTAAATTATTATTTATATATATATATAAAGAATTTTTTTAATGCTTAAAAAAGCTTATATTAAGTTTATTTTAAAGGATTTTTAAGCTTTTAAAGCTTAAGTTAAGATTTAAGTTTATAATATAATGCTTTTTAATAAATATTAAAATAACTTTTAATTTTAAATAAAAAATTTATAAATATTTATTTATAAAAATATAATATATAAAAATTAATTTTATTATATATTTTAATTTTATATTATTAATATTAATATATTTTATAATTTTATATTATATTATATTATATATATTATATTATAATATATATTAATTATAATATATATTTTTTATATATTTAATTTATTATTATTATTTATTTATTAAAATAATTATAAATAAAATAAAAATATATATATATAATATAATATATATATATATATATATATATATATATATATATATATATAATTTAAAAATATAAACGTTTAAATTAATTTTATTAATAATAATAATATATATTTTATATATAAATTATTATAATTAACTTATAATTAAATAAAAAAAAGTTATAACTTTATTATAACTTACTTTTTATATTATAATTAAATTAATTATATACTTTATTTATTTATTATTAATTATATAAAAGTTAAATTAATATTAATTAATGCTTATTTAATAAATATAAATTATTTTTTAAAAACTTATTTATTTATAATAATTTTATTTAAAAACTTTATATTAATAATAATATTATAAGTTATTAAAAAGCTTAATTAAGTATTAAAAATTAATTTATAATAATAATATTGTGGGAATAATATGTATGGGCATTATGTGTAGCGTGCTTATATAATAGGTGCGCTGCAAGCAATGCATAGATTTGGAGGTGCAAGGTTTAAACTAGTTTTATTAATAGTAGCTGCCAGCCAGTGCTAGCTAGCTGCTAGCTGGTGGTTATATACCTTGCATATAAACCATTATAGCTAGCTTATAGTTAAATAAGGAAAGGTTATAGCTTTGTTATAACTTACTCTTTATATTATAATTAAATTAATTATATACTTTATTTATTTATTATTAATTATATAAAAGCTAAATTAATATTAATTAATAATTGCTTATAATAATCATAAATAATTAAGTTTTTTAAAAGTTATTTATAAATATTTATAAGTAACGTAACTTATAATTTTAAGAAAGCTATTTATAAGCATTTATAAGTATAAAACCCTTATAAAAAAGCTATTTATAAATATTTATAAGTATAAAAAAATAACCTTTAACCCCTTTAATAAACATGCTTAAAAACAATATATTAAAAAAAAAAGCCTTTCTTATAATACCCTTAATTCCTTGCAATCTTCCTAAGCAAACATAATTATATATTATTAAAAACCCTCTTTTCAAGCTGTTTATAAGCATTTATAAAACTTTAAGTTAATTAATAAAGCTATTTATAAGAATTTATAAGCGCATAGTAAACGAAAATTATTTATAATTAATATATAGCCTTAAGAAGCTAAAAAGCCCTTTTTATAATACCCTTAAAAGCCCTTTATAAGGCACCCTTAATTATTAATACCCTTGCTTATAACTATTATAAGAAGCCTTTACTTAACACCCTTAAAAAGCCCTTACTTAGCACCTTTAAAAAGCCCTTGCTTATAATTAATATTTTTAAAAAGCCCTTATTTATAATTAATGCTCTTTAAGGCACTTATATAATACCCTTAAGGCTTATAACCCTTTAAAAACCCCTTAAGCACTTAATAAAACATAAAGCGTTTAAATACTTTAAAGTATTAATAAATAATATTTCTTTTAAGCAATTTATATATTTAATTAACATGTTTAATTAAATACTTTAAAGTATTAATTAATAAAAATAAGTAATTAATGCAATTATCTTATTTATTTAATTAACTTAAAATCATTAAAAGAAATAGTTAAGATTTATTATATATTTAATTATATAAATAACTTAATTAAACCTTTAAAATATTTACCTTTTAATAATAATTAATATTTAATTAATAAGCATAACCTTTCCTCTTTTTAACGTCCTCCTTATCAACACCCTTTAATAAAATCTTAAGCATAAATTACCTTAAAATTAATATAAGTTAATTTGCTAAGCAGTAAAAGCATTTAGGCGTTACTACTTATAAATAAATGGTTTAAAAGCTAATTATTAGCCCATAAATATAGCAAAAAAACGTTTTCTTTCCCCTTTCCCTTTTACCTTATAATTAATTATCTTAAAATCTACCTTAATAATAATAATAATAATAACGCTTATTACTAGCTGCAAGAAAGCCCTTACCCCTTAGCTATTTAACCCTTTTTAAAACCCTTTAAAAGCAATTATATTTAAACGCTATTCATAAGTATTTATAAATCCTTAAGTTATAATAATAAAGTTATTTATAAAAGTTATAAGCATATAATGTAAAAACGTTATTTATTAATAATATAACTTAATATTTAAATTAAAGCACAAGCTAAAGATATATATTTTTAACGCTTATTGTAATAAGTTAGCAAGCAATATTAATAATATTAATAATCTTAACACTCCTCCTTAGCTAACTCCTCCTTAATAACCTCTTTATTAATAACCTCCTTCTTAATAAGCTTTTCCTTAATAGCTTTAAAGGTAATTATAGCCTTTTTTATAACTAGCTTATCCTTAATAAGTTACTTCTTATTAACTTTTTCCTTAGCTAACTTTTCCTTAGCAGCCTCCTCCCTTATAAAGCTATTAAGCATATTAATAAAAATACCCCTTTATATCATTTAATTAATTGCATTATGCATATAAAATATTAAAATTGCTAAAGCTTTAATAATATTAATAGCTATTATCATTATTATAACCTTAAGTAAAGTTAAATATATAATTAACCTTATTATAAATCTTAATAAATAATAATTAAAAATCATTAAAAGGATAAAGAAATAATTAAAAAGAAATTATTTAAAATAATAATTATTATACTTTTTATAAAAATAATTATAACTTAAAAAAGAAAGATAATTACTTAGCATTAAATAATAACCCTAATAATATTTATAATAATTACTTTAATAAATGCTTTAATAATAATAATTAAGCTAATAATTATAACTTAAACTTTTAATTAATTAAAGTATAGCATTTAAATACTTTAAAGCTTTAAAATATTAATAATTAAATAATTTAATTAAGCAATTTAAGTACTTAAAACATTTAAATATACTTATATTTAAATACTTATATTTAACTTATTAAAGCAACGGTTATAAAGCACTTAACCCCTTATAACCCCTTAAAGAATAAAATATTTACATTAATTAAGCAATTTAATTAGCTAAGCAATAATTTAAAGGAAAAGCATAATTTTAAAGCGTTTATATATATATATATAAAAGATTATTAATATAAGAATAATATATATAAGTATTATATATAATATGTTTATATAATAAATACATTATAAATAATGCATAAATTTAAAGGTGTAAGGTTTAAATTAATTTTATTAATAATAGCTATTAATTAATATTAGCTAGCTGCTAGCTAATAATTATATACCTTATATATAAATTATTATAGCTAGCTTATAATTAAATAAGGAAAGGCTATAGCTTTGCTGCAACTTACCCTTTATATTATAGCTAAATTAATTATATACTTTATTTATTTATTATTAATTATATAAAAGCTAAATTAATAAATATTTAAGTTTTAATTATATTTATTAATATAAATTATTAATAATAATAATTATAATAAACTTTAATTAAAAAGCTTTTTTTAATATATTTTTAAATAATTATAATTTTTTTAATTATTAAAAGCCTTTTTATAATATTTTTAATTATTAATTAAATTAATAATAAGCTTTATTTAATTTTATTTAATTTATAATAAATATTTTACTTTTAAATAAAATTAATTAATTTATAATAAATATTTAACTTTTAATTATATTATTTTTATATCTTTAACCTTTTTTATAATAATTTTAAAAAGCCTTTATTTAATACTCTTAAAAAAACTTTTATTTAATACCTTTAAAAAGCTTTTTTTTATAATTAATGCTTTTAAAGTACTTATTTAATGCCTTTTAAAATATTTATTTAATGCTTTTAAGCTTTTTAACTT